TGCCTGCTGGGCTGAATAGCTGACCTGGGAGGAAAAGAGTCATTTATGACGATTTTCTTAAGAGATGATGTGGATGAGTATGAGTTTTATTTTGTGACCCATGTGTACCACCTTCTCCCTTCTCTATTCCTCCTGCAGGGTGTCGGCCTCCCTTCACAGATACTTCTGCTCCATTTGATGCTTATTGCCCAGGCCAAAGCTACGTAAGGTTGACAACGGCAAAGCGTCTCTGTCTCCTCCATATTTCACCATTGCTCATGAACAGACCACCTAGACACAACATGCAGAAGAGGAAACAGGGTTAATGGCTCAGGGGAGCTAAATTGTGCACAGCATGAGACTAGAGAAAGATCTTTACACCTGAGGGTCCTGAGTAAAGTCTGTCGGCGAGTGCACTGTATGGTCGATCCACAAAGTTCTCGGCTTGTGTTATAATGGCTTCTTTCACCATTTTGTATCCAGACACAAACACTGCCGAGGCGATACTAGGGAACCGACCAGTGTTCCCATAGAAGTCAGCCCAGCTGTGGGACAATACATGAAAGATGAACCACAACACATTGCTGCATAATATCAAAAACAAGATCCGGCAGTATTTACCATTAATTTCTATACAAAAATGAGGAATTGAAACACACATTTCCTAGTGTGTGAACATTACTGTACATTCAGGTGAATTAATAAAGATAACTGAATCTGAAAACTTTTTAAGTTCATTCCATATCCAGATAGCAATTACACAATAGTGCAAATTAATCAAATGGGTTAAGTTTAAATGTATTAAATGTTCAAATTCACAAAAATGTGCTGTAAGGTGAAATCCTCCTGTGTACTAAACTTTACCTTGGTAAAATAAATGTGTGAATGTTTATGGTCCACATTGAAGAAACTTCCCACAAAGGGAAGAGCCAATGGTCCTGGAGGAAAATTTGGAGGATTCCTGTTTTTGAGGAAGTCTGCTATTAGTATAAAAACAAAAATAAACAGGAACAGCCCCCTGAGGTCAAAACTCAGCAAAAAATTATAAAACCACATTGTTAAAGAATGTTAAACCAGCAGCTGGAAGAGGCTCTAAGCTTTCTTAAGACTTCCTTTTTCTTCGCCCGAAACAGCTGTGGTTTTATAATGTCTGTTTACCCTATTGTGGTCTGGTCTGATTCAGAGTACAAAGGTGCTTGTGACAGTGTTTTTACATAACCAACTACAGACACAACTACTTTTCCCTTGACAAACAAGATCTCTGTTATATGACGAAAGGTAAAGTAATAACATACCACACAGTACCTCATTAACATTAACATTAAAAAGTTAATATGATGGCAGTTAGACATGAGCAACAACAATCCCAACTCAGCAATACAACACATGGTGTGCAAAACTTCTCTTTCAGTGACCTTAGACTTTGATTGGATATTAATAGTGTAGACAGAATTAAGTCAAAGTGCAGTGGGAATAAAAGGCATCTAACTGATCCATGTAAATTACAATGAGAGTAAGTAGCTGTCGTCCCTTAGGAATAATAGAAATATAATGTTACAAGTATCTTTTGCATATCAGCTAAGATATTTAGCATCATGGTCATTGGGCAGAAATGTTTTTTAAAGTTTATTCATTGGAATCACTTTTTCAAATGATAAGCAATATTGAGGAACATTACACAATTTTTTACAATAAAACATAATTAAAACAGACTTTTAAATGTATTTACTATGTGCTATATTTCATAGCTTTAGATGAAGATAAATGCTCATATTCATACAAATATATTTATTATTTAGTCGTAACAAAATCAAAGAGGCTAATAGCAAAAGCAATGTTTAGTTTTTGGATAGTTTTTTATACTTTCACTAAATCAATGTTGGATATTGAGGTTAATCTAGACTTGACTTTGATTTGTGTGTAAGTGATTTTTAACTTTTTGACATGTGAACTATGTGGAACTAATATATGAGACATCATGATCTAATAATGCATTATATATTATTTTTTTTAAACTTAATTTTTATTTCAGTTTCAGAAACGTATACAATCATAGACATGCACATTCACATTTAGTCTGCTGTTTCCCAT